TGTAATCAAGAGGATTTTAAATGATTATAATTATTATAAATAGTAATTATAAATAGCACACTAAGAGAAAAAGTTTTAATATTTAACTATAATTATATATTAGGACAACCATATATATAGTCCTCCCAAAATAACTGTAATTGTAGTTACTTATATCATTTTTTATAGTAATTTTAACCATTTTTATAGTTATAATAACTATAATTATATAATCATTTTCGTTGTCAATTATATATATTGGTTTATGGAACTGTACATATTACATAGTTCTTATTACTAATACTATAATATCTAATTATAACTATATTTATGGTAATATGTAATTATTTTTTACAAATAACAAGTTACAAGTACCAAAAAGTTTACTCTCAGTGTATTAATAATAATTACTATAAAAATAGTAATTTAATATTAATGAATTATGTTAGTACAATTGTATTAGAGATTTAGTGAAACATAATTGGTTTTGATCAAGATCTTTTTGTAAATGGTTATCGTGTATACTGTATGTATACACATTTCGATGAAGATTGCATGTTTTTAAATTTACATCGCGGTTGCTTTCTTTATGCCGACGACACTTTTGTCGCCCTTTCATAATCCCTGTGGGTCTTTTGAACATCCTCTGCGAAGTTGAAGAGGCAAACAGTGAAGTGGTGGACGCGAGCCACACTAACGAGTCTTTTGAATCGCCGTTTCTCGCTTCCGCTTACAATAACGATGATAATTTCGCAGAATAATATGTTTCTGCAAACGGGTAGATGAAAATTAGCCCATTATTCTAATATGGCTCTGTTAAATTGCATTCTTAGTACTAAACGTATTATTAGATGAATAATATATATTTATAAATCCTATAATCGAAAAAATAATATTTATTAATTATAAGCAGTAAAAAATTACAATAAATTGGATGATAAAAAAAGTCCTGATTTCACAGTACTAATGAATGAATTAATAAAAGCCAATCTGATAAAACTTCAAATTGAAATCTAACGTTCACTTAAACATGACGCTCGATGTTCATCTTATTCATTTCTGTTAGACAAGTGGAAGCTAGGCGTGGATTTTTTAATGGCTAGTCATTAGAGTAATGGACTACTAAAATTTATGCATAAATGTACATATGTGCAGGTAACACCATGTGGTTACACCAGAGGTTGTAACATTGAACATTGCAATAATAACGCGAAAACATAAAACATGGTTAAAGTTGCATTCCGTGTCTCGGAGGAGCTATGATGCAATGGCGTATGTACAGCTGATTGAACGAAATGACATCTTACGGTCTGTCACACCTCCATCGACGTCCATCCGGTCTGTAATCGACAATTTTGCCACCCACCACGCACTGTTCACCAGTGCTGCGTTGGGACTTGGGATTTTTTTTTAAGGCCCTGAATCATCCGGATATTCAGACGCGAATCGCGCATTATACGAGATCCGGCAATTACATCTAATTTTTCGGACTAGTTAAGAAAGGCGAGATCTAAAGCAATAAATGAAATAGAAATAATTTTTCAATATTACTCAATATTTATTTATCAATGTTTTTTAATATTTATAAGTTAAGTTCTAAAAATAACGTGCTTTAAATAATCACATCCAATATTAACAGTTCTTTATAGATTTTTAATAAAAACTTTTCATTATAAAAATAACTTTTTATAAAAACTTATTAATCAATTAAATTTTGATTCTGACGTTAAACTTACTAACAAAGTCTGTTAATAGTCTTTAACTGAAAAAATTACATGCGGCAATAAATTTAAAAATTACATCAAAATCCAAATTTACTAAATAAAGCAATGAAAAAATTTTCCAAAGATTGCAAGTTATTAGATACGTACATTCGTTAGATATGTAAATTCGTTTACAGGATATTATCTTTATTATTATTATTATTATAAAAAATAGCAATGTTGAAAGATTTTCCTGGTTCATTTATTAATTTAACTCTCATTAATCCTTTTATCAGCCCAAAAAAGTTGTTAGAGTCTTTTTTTATCGAATTCTAATATTCCAATATTCGAAAAATATATCTTAAGAAAAGTGACACAAATAAAAAATATAAAATTATTCAGGAAAGAGGAAAGAAAATAGAATATTTTTTTAAAATTAATTATTTATTATGGTACTATTAAATATAAGTTAATTTAAAACTAATCACAAATTGCTTGTTCCGAGTTCTGTAGAAGCAATGTAGATATTTTTATGATGTTACTTCTACTTTGATTTGTCATTTTTTTTTTTTAGAAACTTTTGATTTCATCTTATATTACTCTTCCTGATTGAAGACCAATGTATTTTAAAAAACGATCCGTACATAATACAAAATTTGCAATTCGTAAAAATTTTGACTTTCCACTTTTCCTATAAAAGTGCGATATAATCTGATTCGAAGGTGTGTATCCGCGGAAATTCGAAATGGGAAAAATTTGCAAATGTTATTAGGGAGACATTGCTGCGACAGGTTTGTGTCATCGCGAAATTCGATAATATATATTTTGCATACGTCTGCCCAAGATTGTTAACGCCGGAGGCTCTCGAGTTACGCGTAAACATCACGGTTTGAGCATTCGCTCTAGCGATGCTATCGATTTCACGAATACGATTGCACCAGCCATGCTAATATGCTCTCGCAACTTTGCTCGTCGCGCTCGACTAAACCGCGTTTAAGTCGCCGAAGTACCGGCTGCTGACATTTTGCTGCTCCAGTTCAACATCAAGATATTCGTAAGCGGCGAGATTTTGCGTGGAGCAGCAAAGTACTACAGTTTTCTTCTAGAAGCTTTATATCTTTAATGAAAAAATGTGGTTTTTGCAAGCTTTTATTTATTTCCATTTAGTCATTTATTTCATTGTCGATTCTTTCATTAATATATTAAATAATTATTAATTTAAAATAAATGAACGTGAAATGTCTTGAAATTTCATTATGTAGACGTTCCGACAATAATTTCTTGTCACTTATCTCTTGATAACGAGTCAAGTATCGAGGGAATAAGATATCGATTTTAGAAATTATTAATTTTTTCCCACTTGTTAAACTTTCCGTCGTGACGTAATGTGATTAACAATAGAGAGACATTACGTGACTGCAACATTTCGGCCATTATTAATGAAACCATTAATACAATATTAGTTAAATCGCGCTCATCATTGTAACGTTCATTAGACGCGTTCGATATTAAACGTCAGCGTTATTCGAGGACTTTAACCCAGCATCAACCATATTAATTTTCGATTTCGCCATGTAATATCGACTGGCCGTAATATTTCTCGATATTATTATTGTTACATCGCTCATATTCGGTTAATATACCGATGGATAGCCGAGCGCGAAGGGAGGATGAGCCAGAGGTGGAAATTTTCGGGGTTTGAAAATTCTCGGAGGGCGAACGCACCGGCGCGCACTCACGCACACACGCGTGCGTGCGCGTGCGTGTGCGTGAGCGTGAGTGAGTTACCCCGCTCGTGACGCCGGGCCATGCTGGTCGGGGCGTGTGTATGTGTGTGTGTGGGTCGGTGTGTATGGGTGTAGGTGCGTGCTATCGACCGGGTATCCTCTGTGCCGCTGGACGGACGGCGGCGTGCCCCACCCTGAAGAGAGTAGGGAGCTCCGGAGCTCGTGAGCGAGCGAGAGGGATGAACGTGCCGGCCGCGCGGGTGACGGAGATAACGAAGTGAGGGGCGAGAGAGCGAGGGAGAGAAAGAGAGAGAGACCGCGGCACGCAGAATGCCGCCTCCTGCTTAGTGATAGCGTAGAGACTGTAGTGTTCACATCACACCACACACCTAACCAAAATTCTCGTTCACCATTCAAGGAAAGTTCGATATATATACATAAATATATATATATTATATATCCGCACAAATTAGTCAGTTAGTTTCTCGACACGCACACTACACCACTGACCGGTAACACGCACGCCCGCACACACGTATTATATCTACACGTATATATATATATATATA